TCATTTACCAAGAGTTTGAAGTGCCGGTTCAAGTTTGAAAGTAATCTTTTTGGCAACGTCTTCCCTAGCTTTTATTGCTTGTTCGCCTATTTGTTTAAAAGCGTCATGGCTCACATCCATCGAAATCACTTGACCGTCAGAAGGCAGTGCCAAAGACCAGGCAACAGCAGATGCACCAGTAAACGTACCTAAAATCAGTGGAAAACAAATTAAACTTAATTGGGATGAAAAAACTTTTGTTTAAATGCTCGCAAAATTAGATAAATGGTATAAAAGTTTAAACTAAAATCAACTGGCTGCTTACCTATGTCAAGTGCTTTTTTTGCCCTGATCAGCCTTATCATATTCTGCCCCAGTTGATGGACTTCAGGAGCACCTATCATTTTGCCATGCGGATGATTTTTTAATGTATCATCGGAAATCTTTTTCAGAAGAGGGTCTTGTTTTACAGATATCTTCAAAAAAAAAAAAAGAAGAGTTGAATTATTTGCTAATACTACTAACTTTCTTTCAGTATGTTTTGAATACTATAACCAACTACCGTCATACAGCGAACAAAACGGTAAGAAAGATAAGGTTTTAAACCTACCTGAGTACAGTAGTTTGCTACAGGATCATTTTTATGTAGAGTCTTCTCTGGTCCCGGCATGGCAAATTCTGAAACCATTTTACTGTACGTTACAGAGAACTAACAGTGCAAAAATTTTAATCTGAAGAGTTTTCAGCCAAAATATAAACTGCAATTATTGGATAGAATTGATCAACACATTGAAATCTAGTTTTACTGCCATATGTATTAAATATCTGTAAAAAATTTTAAGCCAGTAATTGCGATCAAATCATCAAAAAAACGAATGCTCCGTGTAATTTTTTAAACTCAATTTGTGACTGCAAAACACTCCAATTATCATCTTTTGTTAATTGAACTACACCCAAACTAGACAAGAATTAAATCTTTTAAAGATTTTGAATTTTCAAAAACAATTGTGTAACCCTTCTGGAAAAGAATTTTTATTTACAGTAATATGATATTTAATACTTCCTGGGGCTTCTTTTCAAAAGACTGTTTATCTCAATTTCCGTTATCAACCAAGAAGTTGTATGAAATATATAAAAAGTAATAACAGTAATAATAATAATAATAATTTAAATATTATTATTTGTTTATATTAATAATAACAACACTAAAAATAACAAAAATAATTAGTCATCAACAGAGCGAACTAATTGGTTAAGACTACTGGAAACTAACGTACGCCTTCAAAGTTTTAAAACAAAAATTGAAGTCTGATTGCAGATGTGATAAACTTACGATCAAGGAATCTATTCTCGACTGATCAATTTTTTTAGCTGTTTTTTACTGTATATTGTTCAGGTATTTAAAACTGAAGTAAAAAAGGTAAAATAATGGTCAAATTATGTGTTGGAAAACTTATTTAACGCCATCAAATAGGTAAGATAGAAGTTGAAAGTGATAATGGAAGAGGTGTACGACAAAAATAAGACTCGGTCTCAAGTAAGCAGTAAGAAAATATTGACAACGTGCCAAAAAGACAAGTCTTTTAATGAACCATACATTGAAAGTTCAGGTGAAAAACACTATGTAAACTTTTAAAACTGGAAAATGTCAAGGTATTTGACGAATAATTCTTATTAGCAAGTGCATTAAAAGTTTTTTGCGCAGGATACTTAATTGGGTAACTTTTGGAAACAGTTTTCTTTGTTTTAAGCAGTAAAAAAGTAAAAAGCAAAAAATTAAAACAAAAATCTTTTTTTTTTTTTTTGAACAGTTTCAATTGAAAAAAGTTTATGTGACTACATAAGAGCGATCTATACATATTCTTTTAGAAATCGATTAACAGCAAAAGTACATTAAAGTACAAAAAAAGATCAAAAATCGTAAACGAAGTAATAGAAAGTGTCAACAACAGTTGGAAAAACAATAAAGATTCAAAATACATAACTATAAACATGAAAAACAAATTTTTCAAAAATATAAAATACCAATGTAACTTAGAAATCCTGTTGTGTATTCAGTTTGAATTGAGAAAAAAACTGCAATAGAAAAACCCCGTGAAATAACTCGTTCGAGTGATTAATTTTGGCCAAATAACTTCACTGACTAGAGATCAAAGTTCGACTTTTTAACTTGCCAGTTACTTGTTGCTCAGTTTCAACGATTAAACGAAAAATGAATGCTCGTAAAAAATTTTACTCGTGAAGTAAATTAGGACGATTTAGAGAACACACAAAAGCATCGTAAGGTTTCCAGTTAAATGTGCTATTGTTCAGCTATGAATTCGCTCTGGCTAAATAAAACTAATCCTTGGCGAATTTGGCAGATTTCAATGTGAACCAGAAGTTTTGAGAGAAAGTTGTCCGGTCCTACATTATTGTGTCCTAGAACTTCATTCACTCGGCTATTCCTGAGTTTCAGGCATTCAAATACTTAGACTTTACAGTTCTCGGCGCGCGAAGCATTCTCGAGCATTAAATAATCTCTTTGAAAAAATTACTCTTTTGTTGCGATTCTTTTGCGATCTGTAGAATGAGAAATACCAGTCTTTGCATGTGGTAGTTATTAAACGGTAATAGCTATATAAGTAGATTACAGAATTCCTGAACAGAGGATTAGTAACTCAGAATAACTGACAAATTTTTTTGCCCCTAAATTGGCTTTTTTACTCGCTGTGTTTTTCAAATGTTTCAGTTCTGTTTGATTCAACATACCCTGCAGATTTATTTGCAACGTGCACAAGTATTCGTTGCCTGCCTATGCCAACAACGTTCAAAGCGTCTCGTAACTTTCAGATAGTAAAAAAACTTTCTGCTCTTAATTCCAGATAACAAATACCTCCCTTAAAGTACCTTGTAAAAATACTAAAAAATAAAAAATCGAGAACAAAAAAGAGGCAATTTTGTGTTATGAAACAACTGAGTTCAAACCTTTATGCAGCTCATTGTAATTGCTCAATAATTAATAGATACCAGAAAGTACTTAAGTTTGAATAAATTTATACTACTTAAGTATGCTCACATCTAAACATGATTTTTTTTTTTTTGCCTGCAACTTTTCCGCAATTTTCGTCTGTCGATTTTTTTTAAATCCTCTGAATTCGCTTAGCGCAGGTTTTGGAATTAAGTAAATATCCCCTTCACTTTTAAGAATCCTGACTACTAATGGGCCTTTGTTTCTGAAATGTCTTTGCAGGCTTATATTAGTCAGCCGTCTTGCCATAGTACTTTCGAAATCTTTTTTAACCCGCCTTACTCCATTTGTCGATTAAAGAGGAGATTTCGAAGTGCTTTAAAAGGCAATCCACGGTAAGCCAGCCACCGTAACAGCGGTTAGCCAGTGGTAGCATTTATTGTCGGTTGCGAGAGAAGAGTTATGAACGTTCAAAATGATTGCTAAATTGTTTGAATATCCCAGTTACTTTCGAATCTTTCTAGACCAATGCTTAAAACATCGACCTTTTTCTTAGAAACAGATACCCATGAAGACGTGTTAAATGCGAAACCAAGGACGTCGTAAAGTCATTGGTAGCCACGTCTTCCGTGATGCAACGCATGCAACTTCACGTTCACTTCGTTCTCAATTAGGATCCTGCGCTTGTTCAACTTTTTAGAACAGTGGATCTGAAAACTTATTATTTCCTTAAACTCAATTACTTCTAAATTTTATTTTCTATTTCCCTTCACACCTTCTTTCTCGCTTCCTTGTAACCCTCCTTTGCCATCATCAACCTGCCAGGAATTTGAATCAAAGGCGGCTTCTAAATTCTATTTCTGCAAACCTGAATGAGACATTGTGCGACTCTTCTGGCAGCACTTTATGAAAAGACCGACAAGACCTGTTTGACACTAACTCGTAAGACTATTTTTGAAATGGCAATTGCATGTTTTCAAATCTTCTAAATCCTTAGGCTTCAAGCAGGATTTCGGGAAATTTGAATAGAATCACTTGCCACTTACCGTGCTGCAGCCGGTTTCAATTGTGTACCACGCCACACACAAAAACCAAGTTAATCAAAATAAACGAAACTGCGAAACACTAACGTATAATGGCAAATTAACATTCATTTCACCAGCAAGTACAAACCATTATTGACGATATCTAGTTACCATCCCTGTACCAGTCTTTTATTTCGACGCATCAAAGTGCACTTCATAGGGAGCTCAAAAAGTACCGGGTAATCCCGACCATCATTCAACTGTCTCCAAGCACAGAACTGACGAATTCAGGTAGCTGGGTACTTGGAAGTGTTATTGGCGTCTCTCCAGATGCAGATTTTCTTTTTTTGCGCGACAACCAGGTCGGTGAAGGGAAATTAAATTTGAGTAAATCCAACTGGTATCAAATTTGAAGCGATTGCTGCTTACAGCCAAATATATATTGGTGACACTTTGTGAAGTTTTTGTTATCAATTTTCGATTTTAATGCCTCTGAGGCCAATTGTTGTAATTGAGATTTGAGTAGTTTTGGTAACCTGTGGCAATTTGTTGAAGTTTTTTACGTTAGAGCAAAACAAAGACGGTGTTCTGCTGAGACTACAGCCGCAATAGTTATTTTGTTCTCTATTTTTCTTGCATAGTGTATAAATGAGCTGAGTCAGCTGAAACATATTTATGTGTAAATTGTTGATACTTGGAAATTGTATATTGGCTCTGCTTATTGGACGAATGCTTGACGCATCTGTACAAACCGCATTATTCACTGTGGAGTTTTTTTTTGGTATCCGATCATTTTTTCAGATATATTCCAGTCTAACCTCTCAACCTTCAGCTACTCTTATCATCTCCCAAACCGTCTGGTATCTGATTACTGTGTTGCAGCTTCTGTTGATATATCTTGTTAAAGAATGGCGGGATGTCTGCACGTTGTAATGGCAGAACACTGATGCATAAATTTACGTTTAGATTTAATAATAATGAAATTTGTTTTTTCCGATTAGGATGATATCAGAGGTTTAGAGCCAACAATGAGTTTTCGGGAAGCCTATATACCCGGTGGATTTCGTCCCACTCGACGCGTTCGGAGCGTTTCACTTACCAGGTGTTATCTTTTTTCTAACTTGCTTTACTTATTTAAAAAAACCACGAAGAGCTTTTATTTGTTTTTTTCAAGTCTTGATGAAAACGAGGACCCTGTAACTGGCCTTGAAAGAGTGGCGTCTTACTCCAGCATCGATGCTGAAGAAAGACGGCAACGAAGGTTACAGCAGGAACAGAGGTTGGCACAACGTGAAGAAGCCAGAAGGAAACAGGAAGAGGAAGTCGCTCTTTCAGCTCGTTATGAGAGTCTCGACTATGAGATTGTTGAAAATCAATTGTACAGGTCGGAGGAAAAGGATCCCAACCATCAGGTGCAAATTTTTTGGTTTCCAAAAGTGTAATTTGCCGTACAGATCTCAATAGTCCAGTTACGATTATTAATATCTTCATGAAGTCTATCTCAAAAGACCAATAATTTTTTTTTAAATCAATTTTTTTAGCAGATACTCTTTCGGCAGTCGGTCAATCGTTGGGCTGTGTGTTTCTTCATTGGCGTCGTTACTGGCGCAGTTGCAGCTTTTATCGATATTTTGATTTATTATAGTGGCCGAGTGAAGTTTCATTACATCATTAGTAACTGTGAGTTCTTCACAACTGAGAATGATTATCAGTGGGTCTTTTTTATTGGGGTTACTTATATAGGTTTCCTTCTTTCTTCTGGAATGCCAGAAACCTTAGACAGTTAGATTTAGTGCTAAAACTGTGTGAAAAACAGCTTGACAACGGTGGTGGTTGTGTTTGGATGGTTGAGCTAGCATGGATCAGCTACAACTGTTTTCTCGTTTCAATTTCGGCCTGTTTAGTTCTTTTCGTTGCTCCAGTTGCTGCTGCGTCAGGTATTATTTCTTCTGCTCATAAGCTAGCAGATGAGTTTTGGCTATTAAGTTTAGAAAAGTGTTTACTCAAATATCTGTATAAATCTCAGGAATTCCACAAGTGAAGTGCTTTTTAAACGGTGTCCAAATTCCCGGCGTCGTTCGGCTGAAAACTTTAATAGTCAAAGCGATAGGTGTAGCTTGTTCAGTGGGAGGAGGACTTAGCGCTGGAAAGGTTCAAATGCTTATATTTGGTGTCTTTGTTTGGTATGGTATTTTAAAATCTCAATTTTCAATGTTAACGCTCAATAGCGCTCACTCACTTGGTACTATAGGAAGGTCCTATGATACATTCTGGTGCTGTAGTCGCTGCAGGTATATCTCAAGGACGTTGCATTTCCTTGCCACTAGATTTCCACGTGTTTGAGCAGTTTCGCAATGATAGGTAAAAGTTTTTAAATAACTTTTTGTACTGAGCAGCATTTACTTTTAAAACTTTCCCGTAATGACTCATTTTCAGTAGTTTACATGATTTAAAAATTTTTATATTTTTCTGCAGGCTTTTTTAAAAGCTAGGGGTGTCCGGAAGGTATTAATGCTATAACATATTTTCTCATATATGATTTTTTTCGCTATTTTGCTTCTTTTTCGTAACTTTGTTCTGTATGCCCTATTCTTTCCACATTTACAGCTTCTTCATCTTGATCTCTTATTGTTTTGCATTAAGTGCTGAAGCAACTGTAATCTTATATGATTATTTTAAGAGCTTTCTACGGCCATTTTTTGAGAGTAAGGCGGGTGTAGGAAATTTTATCTTTCGGTTGCATTGGGTTTTATTTCTAGAGAGAAACGTGACTTTGTAAGTGCCGGAGCCGCCGCTGGAGTTGCTGCTGCGTTTGGCGCCCCAATAGGAGGAGTCCTGTTTAGCTTGGAAGAAGGTGCAAGTTTTTGGAATCAGAACTTAACATGGCGCATGGTATGTAAATCATTTTTTTACCTTTTTACATTACTGTTGGTTAGTACTTTTTTATAGTTTTTCTAGAATTTTCTGGAAATTACACTAGTTATTTTTTGATTGGTGATGTCCGGCTGAAGTAGTGCGTTTTAAAGAAAATGTTTTAGTTTTTTGCGGCGATGATTTCGTCGTTTACTGTTAATCTTATCCTAAGTGTATTTTACGGTGTCAGTGGCTTTTTGTCGTGGACGGGTCTTGCGAACTTTGGTGTTTTTGAGGTATAGTATGCTGAATTTAGATTTTTCAGTGACACTGCATGTAACAGATATTTTGTGGATAGCACAGTCATAATTGCTTTATAACTTTTTATTTAAAATCCATTTTTATCCCTTGTTTAAAAATATAGACAAAAGGCATCTGTTTAGAATATTGAATACAACATTTGGGAAATCCCGATTTTTCTCTTTATTGGCGTAATGGGTGGGCTCCTGGGATCGTTCTTCAACTTGTTAAGCGTGCGTTTGATGAAATTTAGGCAGAAGTAAGTGTCTGTACTTCATTGTTTGGTAGTTTGTTTATAGTTGCAGGCCTTGCTTTTGTTTATTTTGTTTTATTTTGAAAAGCTGAGGTAAGCACATATCTCGCGAGTAGTGTTAGTCTAATAAGAGACAAAATTTTGTTTGCTGGGTGTAGCGGGTTGAAGAACTCGAGAAAATCCGGAAGATGCAATTGTTTATCTTTTTGGGAGAAATGTTTTTTTTTGTTCAGTTTTTTGTAGTTGGTAAGTGGACACAACTTCTCTTTCAATTTTGACTTCTGAAACGACTGTTCTCACAGGTATGTCACCACTCCTCGACAGAGGCTGTTCGAATGTCTCTTGGTTGCTGCAGTATCTGCTTTCACCGGTTTTTTGACCCTTTTTGTAGTTGATGACTGTCGGGCAATTGGTGTTAATCCAGAACTGACAGAACTTAACAAGGTTTTTATATTTTTTTCATTAACTACATTTTCGATTTTAAATTTTTTTGGACTTCCAACTTATCATTTAGTTGTGGTGCCGGAAGGGAGAGTATAGTGCAGTTGCTAACTTGTTCTTTCAAAGTCCTGAGGAGAGCGTGAAAAGTTTGTTCCATAGTCCAATTAGTCAGTTTTTGCTTAGTTTATTTATTATTGACATAAATTGTATTATTTTTTGCAAGGAGTAGAAATAGTCTGTTCATTGAAACTTTACAATTATTTTTTAGCCACTTAGTTTCGACTTATTATGAATCTTGTCAATTTTTTTCAGATTCTTTCAGAGCGTCTACATTATTTATTTTCGCTATTGAATATTTCATTCTGACTCTCTGGACGTATGGCTTGTCGGTTCCCAGTGGTATATTTATTCCCTCAATTCTCACTGGTGCAGCATGGGGACGTCTTGTAGGTATAGGGGTTGAGTCTCTGTTCCCAAATGTGGTATGTTTAGGTCATACATTCTTTCTCTCCTCAACTTTATCATTATTGCCCCTCTGTCCTGGTTATTTTTAAGGCTAAATTTTAAACAGTAATATGAGGTATCTTGTTTCTACCCAACGCATTGTATTTCTAGACAGGAGTTGATCCTGGGAAATATGCGTTGGCTGGTGCAGCTGCTCAGCTCGGTGGCATTGTGAGAATGACTTTAAGTTTGACAGCAATCATTATGGAAGCAACGAAAGATATCACTTTTGGATTACCTCTCATGCTTGTTTTAATGATTTCAAAATGGGTAGGAGATATTTTTAATAAAGTAAGTACTTGAGTGATATCGTTTGCTTTTTCTCGTTTAATCACATATGCGGGAGTGGGTATAAAAGTTGTGCAATATCAGGATGGAAGCAGCTTTTTTTTTTTTGTACAGAACCTGTAGTTAACAGCCGTCTTGATTGCAGGGTCTTTACGATTCTCAGATCGAATTAGCTGAAGTGCCGTTCCTGGGATGGAACCCTCCGAAACTATCGCGAAACATTCTCGCAGAGTAATAGTTATAAATTTCACTGAGGGCATACAGTTGGAATGCAGGCAAAATCAGTGTTTATTATTTGAATTTCATAGTCTGAAGTGTCGAACTTAATAGTCTGGGGGTACTAGATTTTGACTGAAGGAGAAAATTGGTCAGCTATATGTTTGCCACAGTAAACGAATTGATAACGATTTACACAGCTTCAGAAGGTGTTGAACATTTGAAGGCAGCCTATTATTTTTTTTTATTTGCTAATGAAAGTTAAAGCTTTGGTTAACTCCTGCCCATATGGCATCAATTCTTTTTCTGGTTTGTGCGGAGATGTTTGTAAAATTCAGAGGGAGGGAGGAGAGCGATCTATTGTAGCGACATTTCTATTCAAAAAAAAAAAATGCAGAGGGGGTAGCCAAAAAGGGTTTGGAAATATTGTTTTTTTACGCGGCAGCAAGGTGAAGTGAGACTATTACGGTCTTGGATACTCTATAAGTAGAACGGGAGTTTCTAGAGCAGATAGATGAAGTCTGAATGATTTTAGGATCTTAATGAGTTATAAATATTTGACAGCTTTGTAATTTTTAATAAAACAGTACGTTACAGGTGGCAACTCGATGAAGCCTTCCTTTTTTGCTGTTTTAAAAGTGGCTTTTATAATCTCTTGAAACATAGCCCGTGGGATTAAGAACACTGGGCGGGATTTTGTGGCGTTTTCCCAATGGCTGCCTTAAAAAATTTTGGGGTCTTGGCTAGAATCTGTCTTTTTATGAAAATACTGTTTTACTTTTTAAAGCAGTTTTTGATTCTTACAAGTAGTTTTCGAAAGCAAGTTGCTCTCTCTGACAACAGTGGGATCACCGGGGCCTTGTAAGTTTACCGTGAGAGGAGTTGTCCTGCAGTCAACTATAAAGTTAGCGCGCCTAACTAAGTCGAAACATTGAAGTTGTTGTAATTTGCTGTTCGATGTTCAAACCGTCGAAAAAATATTGCCTTGGAATGGGGAGGCCGGACTGTGACTTTTTAAAAGCAGTAGTGGGGGAATTAAGAACAATAACTTGTTTCACACTACTCATTTTTTTTGAAGTTATATCCGTTTTCAGGCAGGTGATGCGCAAAGACGTTGTAGCTATGGAACCGCTTGAACGTGTCAGTAGAATTCTCGAAATTCTCCGAACAACCCAACACCATGGTTTCCCAGTCGTTGATCAGATTAATCCGTCAAAGGGCAATAACCACCTTCCTGATTACGGGCACATTAAAGGGCTCATTCTGCGGTCGCAATTAATTACTTTGCTTCAAAACAGAGTAATCTATTTTTTTTTTTTTTTT